CCCACGGGCTGCAAACCGGCGCGTGACCGTCTTTTCCCTGGCTCGCCGACGAGACCAGAAAACTCCGTCTTACAGCCACAGTGTTCCATACGGGAACAAACGTTACATTGCTGAATTCAGTTTTTAACGTCGATTATGAATTTCATAATTATATTGCCCAATGTGCTGGCTATCTGAGGCTACAGGGTCGTTTTTCGATTTTACACCCAAAAGCCCATAAGAAACCCATGTTAAAATCCAAAGACCTTGAGCAAGTGGTTCCGGGAGTCCGATCGAGCCTAATGATGTGGTGTTTAAAAATCTTGCATTGCAGCGACATCTTCAGCTAGGTCGACACCTCGACACGTCCGGCGAACAAAGGCGAATCTGCGGAGCGCCCGGTAACAAAGGCGAATCTGCGGAGCGCCCGGTAACAACGGCGAATCTGCAGAGCGCCCGGTAACAAAGGCGAATCTGTGTAGGATTTCTTATGGGGATACGCCTGTGTTACCGGGCGCTCTGCAGATTCGCCTTTGTTACCGGGCGCTCCGCAGATTCGCCTTTGTTACCGGGCGCTCCGCAGATTCACCTTTGTTACCGGGCGCTCCGCAGATTCGCCTTTGTTCGCCGGACGCGTCGACCTGCTGCTGGCCATAGCTGGTCTCCACAGCGAGTTCAACATCTGTCTTCGAACTGCTGGCAATCCCAGACCTGCCAGTTAAATCTGTTATTAAAAAAAAAAAACAGACAACACAAGGGACTAACAAGAGGAATGGTCTGAGGATGAGTCATCTCGATCTAAAATATCTAATTGTCGCCGGTCTGATAGTTTTCTCGCCGTGGTGTGGGCCACCACGACCCCTTGCCAGCGCTTCTAAGAAGGTAATCTCTCTGACGCGGCTAGCTGAGGCTGAGCAGACGTCTGCGCCGCTCGCTGCTGCTACGTCGTGAGTGGAACGGCTGCTGCTGGAACGGCGAGAGCTGTATACGATAGTTCGAGATCCAGCCCAACGAATGCGCTACGGATGTTTTCACTTCGTCGCACTCGCACCGTTGGTCTGCAGTGGCGCTCGCAGTGCGAAGTGTCCAAAACTGTACCCGTCCAATAACTGTGTCACCACCTTACATGTATGCAGGAGGTCCTGTGTACTTGGCAATTATGCAGGAGGTAGCGTACTTGGCCACGTATGCAGGACGTAGCGTGTACTTGGTCAAGTACACACTAAAACCTCCATACATTTATGCAGGAGACTTAGTGTGTACTTGACCAAGTCTTGTTTGCAGGCTTCGGCTTGACAATATGTTTCCGGTCTGGCCCTTCTTTAATTCTCCACATTTCCAGAACAGCGATAGAGTGAAACGGTCCATTGACAAGAAGGAGGCAGCAATTTACAAAGGCATGTTAAGTAGTCGGCGTTTTCATAGCAGTAAGTTGCCAACGACGTCAGCCTCTGCTTGCGTACTTCACAATTCGAACTGCAGAATCCAAGCACATAAACGGGGCTCGCTTTTCGTCTTTTATCGACACAGTGAACTTCCACACATCATTGTTCGGTGACACGCCAAACATTCGTGCAATGCCATCCACGTCGATCGTTCCGTTGGATAAGAGATATCGACCCTGCGAAGAAGGCGAAGAATTCATTTATTACACTCGGCATTCCGCTTTTGAACAGTTAACGCAGATATCCAAATTTAACGTTAAAATTGGCCATAGCAGGCGTTTGCAAGGTCAGATAAAATGTGTATAGGCCACCAAATTTCTCAGAATGGACCCTAGAACAACTGTACAGAATTTGGCAATTGAGTCATAAAGTGCAGTATCGATTGCAGAGGTCACCGTGCAAAAGCCTTCGGCTCAAGTGACCTCAAACATAAAAGAGGGTGCCTTATGGCTGCCTATAGAAACCATAATGACGCTCGTTCACTTCCGACTACAGCAGCCTCATAATTAGCTGCCTACTTGCACATACCTACGGATCATCAGTTTTTTCTCAGACCCAGTCAACAAGGGGCCATCCATAAAGGACCGTCCGGTCGTTTTTGCCAAAAATTGACCCCTCCCTCCCCCCTGTCCGGTTGTGTCCGGTTTTCGGTACCCCCCCCTTTCCCCTGGACGTCCAAATTTCTCCCTCCCCCCCTTACC